CCCCCCCCGTGTGCGTGACCAAAGTCCTCCAAGACTATGAAAATAATCAGCTGTGTACACGCCTGGAGCAGGTCCGTACGGAGCCCGCTGTCATCCACAAGTCACCCTCATGTCACTACTGGTGGCGCTCCATGGGCGATAGCAACCTCCGTGTCTGCCAAGATAAGGGTTTGTCGGGCTTGGCTGGTTTTTCAGAATAATTAACAATTATTTGGAAATACCTTTGCAAATTGTACACTGAATGGCTACTTTAAGGAATTTTAAGGAGCAGGTCCGTACGGAGCCCGCTGTCATCCACAAGTCACCCTCATGTCACTACTGGTGGCGCTCCATGGGCGATAGCAACCTCCGTGTCTGCCAAGATAAGGGTTTGTCGGGCTTGGCTGGTTTTTCAGAATAATTAACAATTATTTGGAAATACCTTTGCAAATTGTACACTGAATGGCTACTTTAAGGAATTTTAAGGTCTTTTTGAATAAGTTTGCACTGTGACTTCCACAGCAGAGGATTTGCTCTGCACTGGTACCCGAGCCTGCCTCCAGTTCACCCAGCGGTAATTGCTTTCTGGTATGGAAAGTCGAAGACAGCGGGCTGTAATTCTGGCCACGTTGCTCTCTGATGTTCGTTACTGGCTACAAAAATTGCGACGCCTTGACTTCGCTAGTGCCAGTGGGAAGGGTGAGAAAAGAGTATAAAACATACAAGGGGTTCCCTGATTGGAAGGGGGAATGGGTTGCCCTCAAGCTTGCAGATTCAAAGCTCCTCACTGAGGTGAGAGAATTAGCTCAGGGGGACCATTTTTTATGAAGGTTCCCAATACCGGTTGTGAATGGGACGAGCTGCCCCTATAAGCCAGCGGGAAGGTGCCACAACGTGGCATTCGCAGCAGCAGTTGCAACCCAACGATGACAATCGCCAACGTGAGAGGTGGGGAAATACATTGCAGACCACCAGCACCTCTTGCTCTGCAGGATGACATCATTCCCTGCCAATTCCGATGGCCCTCCCCTTCCGAAATTAAGCGCTCAGCAGTACGCCCTCCCGTAACGGGGCAGTATATTCCATTTTACAGGGCAGTGTTGCTGGGCTGAGAGGAAGATACAGGGAATCAGATGGAGATGAGCTCAAATTCAACTCACAGCACTAATCCGTATCTGCAATCCTGGGGAGAAAGCTGCTCGTGTTCAGAAGGGAACAGAGCAATAGAATTTGTAGAAAGCCAGGACTTGCGGGATGCGGTATCATACAAACAGGACTCAGCTGGAACACCTCTGGCCGGTTCTGCTGGAGTTTTCCTCATAATATACACTTTTACATATTTTTTTTGGCTAAGGAACAAAGAACCAAAGGAGTTAGCAGTGGAGTTACTGGCCACAATAGCTACTTGCCCCACACAAGTCACTTCTCTGTGTGCTATTTTGATGCATTTAGTAATTTTTTTGTATTTCCAGTCATTTAAAAAGTTTCTTTTAATGAAGAACAAACATACGAAGTTAATAAGCATAAGTAAAACAAGGCTGAAGTCTTTGTTCTCCCTGCTCAGGATTTTTTTTTTGTGTTGAAAATGAAAAACATCTTTTCGATCAGAGGTTTAGAGGTTCAAAACACTACTCATGACAGTGAACGCAAAGGTCACATACATAACACGTTTCACACGCTGGCATCCCATTTCTACGCTGGGGCAGATGGCTTTCATTTTCCGCAAGGTATCTGATACATTGCAAATTTTTAATGATGCCATCAGCCTTGATTTGTTGTGCTGAATGCCCTGAGAACACCATACAGCATGGTGATGCGGAACTGGAAGCAAGGAAGGGGGAGAGAATTAGATCAATCCCATCCCTGCCTTGAAATGAAAGAGGGGAATTTTTGTAGGTGAGAGGAGATTCCCAAATCCCTTTCCCAACTAACTTTCTTTCACCTTACAAATAAATCTTCCAGTGGTGTGGGCAAGAAATATTTGAAGAATCTATGGGAGAGATTTCTGTGGACCAGTCAGCTGGTTTTAATCCGGGATGACCCCCCCTGCTCCACTCCCCCACTCTTTCATTGTGAGCAGCATCCCCCATTTGTGCAGGGGAAGAGAAGGGCCCCATGTCCCACATTTTTAGTAAAAATAGACAGCAGCTATTTTCTTTAGTCAGGCAAAGGGAAACCACAGCACTGGGTTCTTGGTCCTTCTGGTTTCTGGGCTGTGCCTTTTGAAATTGAAAGTTTCAGGCCCTTTCCCAGACTTCATGGTCTTTCTCCTGTTTCCCAGTGTCTGCACAGCGGTTCTGACACAGCCCGTTCAGCCGGAGCTGGGCTTGGTGGCGACCGTGGGCCGTAGGACATGGAGGGGGAAAATGAAGCCTGTTGCATAAGAAAGTGTTCCTTCCAGATGATGACTTGGCAAAACTGATGCCTCTGCAAGCCACATTATCAGGCTAGAAGGGCAAATTACAGACTGCAGGCGTCCTAAAAAGCCTATTGTGTGGGTGTGCGGAGGGAAAAGAGAAAATTCCAGGAAAACCAAATTTTGGTCACTGTTGTCCATAGATAGTCAGCTTCCTGGTTTTGGCAAGAGAGGGCACAGCAATATTAAAAAAGGAAATTCCTTCAGAGTAAAAATTAAAAAACACGATGGCCTCCAGACTTCCAGGATCTCGAACCAGCAATGTTATTCTTTGCTGAATCATAAAGGGGGCTCATTTTTTTGGTATGCTGATGATGAATTAAAAAGAACGGCCAGCAGCTGGAGCTTTTAAAGCTGCAATGCAGATACAGGTTTGATTCTGCTGGGCAACTG